TTCAACATATCACTTTTGTCCTTTTGTGGATCATACTTTTGGTGTTATACATGAAAACACATCACCAAACCCAAGATCACATGGCCTTTTCTCCTATATTTTCTTTTAGAAGTTTTATAGTTATGTATTTTACATTTAGGTTTGTAATCCAGTTGAGTTAGTATTTGTGAAAAGTGTTAGATGTCTAGGGCTGGTCTGGTCTTGTCCTGCCTTGTTCTGCCTTGTTCTGTCTTCTCCTCTCTTCTCCTTTCTTCTCCTCTCTTCCTTCCCTTCCCCTCCCCTCCCCTTCCATCTCCTTCCTTCCCTTTTCTTTTCACATGAATATCCAGTTATTACACCAGCATGTTAAAGAGATCATCCTCTCTCTATTGAATTGCCTTTGGTCTCTTGTTAAAGATCAATTGACTATATTTTTGTGGGTCTATTTCTGAACTCCCCTTCAGTTTCAGTGATCTGTGTGTTTATCCTTTCATCAAAATATGTCATCTTGATTTCAATTAGTGTTTTCCCTTTTTAAATTATACTTGTAGATTTTTCTACCTTCAAGAGTCAGCTTTGGGGCGCCTGGGTGGCTCAGTTGGTTTAGTGTCCGACTTCGGCTCAGGTCATGATCTCACGGTTTGTGGGTTCGAGCCCCATGTCAGGCTCTGTGCTGACAGCTAGCTCAGAGCCTGGATCCTTCTTCAGATTCTGTATCTCCCTCTCTCTCTGACCCTCCCCTGCTCACGCTGTCTCTCTCAGAAATAAATAAAAAACATTAAAGAAATGAAAAAAAAGAGTCAGCTTTGAATTTCTTTGCCAATTCTAGATAGTTTATTATTTCTTTTGTTGACTTTTCTATTGTTTTCCCTAGCTTCTTCAGTTAAATTAGTTAAGCTCATTTTATTTTCCCTTAAAATCTGTATATTAGTCTGCTAGGGCTGCCATAAAAAAAATACCATAGGTTGGATGGCTTAAACAGCAGAAATGTATTTTCTCACAGCTCTGGAGGTTAGAAGTCGAAGATCAAGGTGATGGTAAATTCATTTTTTTGGTGAGGTCTCTTCCCAGCCTGCAGATGGCCACCTTCTTACTGTGGCCTTGTGACCTTCTCTCTGTGCTCAAGGGAAGTCAGGGGAGTGGTAAAGATATCTCTGGTGTCTCTTCCTGTCCCTCTAAGGACTCAAGTTCTTTTAGATTTGGGCCCCACCCAGTGACCTTATGTAGCTCTTATTGCCTCCTTAAAGGCCCTGTCTTTAGACGCAGTCACACTGGGGGTTAGGGCTTCAACGTACAAATGTTGGAGGGCTCCAGTTCAATCTGTAACGATATGATAAAAACATCCTTGCTATGGATTTATTTCTGAATATAGTTTTATCTCTAAAGTGCATTCTTTATGGTATTATCACTATTCTCTATAAATTGTTATTGTTTTACTTCCTTATTGATCTCATAGTTAAGTGGAAAATGATGGTGCCTTTCCCTTGTTCTCTAGAATTTTTTATAAGCCCTATATTTTAAAAGCTGATATAAATATTATGGTCATTGCTTTGCTGTTTTGAATTTATTGAAATTATAGTCTCATAGAATGGTTCTCAGCTGTAAGGGACATTTGGATATGTGCATTTTTGGTTGGCATAGTGATGTGTAGTGGGGAGGGCTTCATCTAGTTCACAGGGATGAGAATTCTAGATCTCCACACCATAGGCCAGTCATGGGGAAGTGTGTGTGTGTGTGTGTGTGTGTGTGTGTGTGTGTGTGTGTGTGTATGAGAGAGAGAGAGAGAGAATTTCAGGCCCTGTCTCCCTCTAAACATGGCACACTGCCATTGCTGCTTTGTGGCTGTCATTTTAAAATGGAGCACTGTGTGTGGAGTCTCCTTGAGAGTTCCAGGTGTGTAATGAGGCACCTGGGTTTCCTTGTTTTCTTTGGTGGGGGGAGGGTCTCAATCCAACTTCAGGATTTCACCCACCTCCAAGGGAATGTGTACCAGCAGCTTCACACTTGTGTCCCTTGTGTCTACTCTAAGCTCATTTCCTCTGATGCACTTCTAGGTCCTTCTCCACTGTCTGGGATGGACTTTAATTTCTTCCTTAGGAGGCAGGAAACGACTTCAACCACATTATACAATCTTTCCCTTGTAAGACTCTTATTTAAAATGTTCTCAGTCCCTCCAACTTTGGCTCTTGATCTCTGAAGGGAGATTCCCCCCCCCCCCCCACTCCCTCTGAATAAATGTCTGTAGTGAGGAGAGGAATTTAAAAAAATTTCCTATTAAATTTAATTTTGGTATAATTTCAGACTTCCAAGTCTGAAGCAAAATACAAAGAGTTTTCAAATACCCTTTATCCAGATTCTCCAATTGTTAACATTTTATCACATCCTCCCCTGTCTCTGTCTGTCTCTGTTTTTCTCTCTATAGATTTGTTTCTCCCCTATCTGTCTCTTCACATAAGGACACAGGACACATGTGCATGTGTGCACACAGATGCACAGATCAGGAAATCAATTTTGATTCAATACGATTGTCCCATCTATAGGCTTTAATTCATATTTTGCCATTGTCCCACCAAAATCCTTTATAACAAAAGAATTTAGTGGTCATGTCTCTTTAGTCATTCTTTGTGTTTTACCACATTGGCATTTTTGAAGACTGTAGGCTTGATACTTTGTAGACTGTTCCCCAGTCTGGGTTTGTTTATATTTCCATGAGATTAGGTTCACTGTATCCATTTTTGGCAGAAGTCCCACTTGTGCAGAAGTCCGTTGAGGAACGGATCCTATCATTGTCCCATCACTGGTAAAGTTAACCTTGAACTCTTGGTTAAAGTAGTGTCTGCCAGGTTTCTTCACTGTACAGTTACTGTTTTCCCTTTTGTACTGAATAAGTTATCTTGTGGGGATGTACTATTCTGTCATTCTTTAAACTTTCACCCACTGCTTTTACCATCAGTTGGTGATTCTTATCTGAATCAATTATTATGATGGTTACCCAATGGCTCTTTTCTTTTTATTTATTTCTTTTCTTTTTAAAGTTTATTTATTTATTTTGGGGGAGAGAAAGAGAGAGAGAGAGAGAGCGCGCATGTATGAGCAGGGGAGGGGCAGAGAGAGAGAGGGAGTGAGAGAATCTCAAACAGGCTCCACACTGTCAGTGAAGGATTTGGGGCTCATTCCCACGTACCATGAGATCATGATCTGAGCTGAAATTAAGAGTCAGACACTTAACTGATTCAGCCACCCAGGCACCACCCCCTCAATGGCTGTTTTCTAGTTCTGACCTTTCCTCTAGAGTAATCAGTTGTATCTTTACTATAAGGAAGAGCTTTCTAAAGGAGGACTTTGGAAATTCAGAAAATGTGTTTTGTTTTTTCTCTTGAGGAGTTAAGCCCCTGCGGTTCAATATCTGACTTCCAAAACTGTTGTCTTTTAAACTCAAAGCTGAGCTATGAGACCTTTGTTCTAGAAGGTATCCACCTTTTCTCTGAGGTACTGAATATACAGAATACTGCTCAGACTATAGGTGAAGAGCCACAGGGTCACAAGAATAATTTTAGCCTAGGAAAAGCCTTTAGATTAAAAATCTCAAATTATATAACTTTGCTATAATAGTTTTAGTATTGCAGTATTTCATATTTTTACATCTATATAGGTGCTTCAGTGTAAAAGTGAGTGAAACTCCTATTAAAAAGGAATTAGGGATGAAAACTAAATATACTACCACTTGAAAAGAACTGTAGAACCTTTTTGTCTTTTACACAAAAGTAGCTTATCCCTCTTCTACTCAAGGCTTCCACCAATGATTTGTTGGATTAGCTCATCAAAGATTGTGTGGGATTAAAGTTGTAATGACAATTCCAATAATGTTACATTATTATGAATTCCAAATTAGGGAATTGCTATTGATACATTTCTTTTAATTGTCAGAAGTTGTTTGTTTTGAATTTGGTGATAGCTGTATTTTGGGGTGAGTGTGTCTTCTGCATATTTCCTTTGTGTCATCTCAAAGAGGTACTTGGACCAGGTTTGCTTTAGACATAGGTGGTGGATCCTGTAATATCTTTAAGACTTGTCATGTTTCTGAAGCAAAAACATTTCTGTGCCACAACTTGGCAGACTATTTCATGTTAAGACATAGAAAGAGACTTACGGGCTCCTGGGTGGCTCAGTCGGTTAAGTGTCTGACTTCGGCCTAGGTCGTGATTTCACGTGGGTGAGATCATGTGGTTTATGGGTTTGAGCCCCATGTCGGACTCTGTGCTGACAGCTTAGAGCCTGGAGCCTGCTTCGGATTCTGTGTCTCCCTGTCTCTGCCCTTTTCCCACTTGTGCTCTGTCTCTGTTTCTCAAAAAGAAATAAATGTAAAAAAATATTTAAAAAAAGAGACAACCCCCCCCCCCCAGGATACTTATTTATGTTAGCAGTTTCTTACAAATATCCAATGTCTAAATCAGCTAATAGAAGAAAATAAAATAAATTACACTGAAACAAGAGTTGAAGAACACAATTTCCTAATTTTCTTATGGGTGTTAGCCCAAGAGCATAAATCCCAAAAGAAAGAAACCTATCTGCTAAGGGTCTCCTGGTTTTCTCTTTCAAACACCTACTTCTTTCTTAATGACTAACCATATACCTGAACTCTTTACTCTGGGGATCTCAAATAAAAAGAAAAATACAAAGTTATTCAGTGCCTGTTCTCTATATTATGAATGTTGGAATTTGGATATGTTAATTCCAGGGAGTTAAAGTGATATTTTAGCACACACTTGTACATCCTCTTTGCACAGAAGTTCTAGGGAAATGCTTTTGGACTACCTTGATTTTCTCCAGTTTGTTTCAATGGCTGAAGTGTATGAAGATAATTATCATTTCTACTTGGAAGTGACATCTTAACAAATGTATATGTGGAGGGGATTGAGGAATATTGCAGAGAATATTAGATCTTTCTTTTAAACAATTGTTCATGCGGACAATTTCCCACTTATTTTGTGTATTGAACAAATGATTTTTTAAATCAATAGATCCTTCTTGCTATGAGCACGAAGACACCTTTTTCTCAGTGTTTCACACTCAGGTCCCTCCAGAAGAATATGAAAACCGTAAGCAGAATGTCAATCAAGGTATGTTTTAATTTGTGTGATTTTGCATATTGTCTCAAGAAAATACTAGCTATATACGGAAATATTCATAGATGAAATGACTTGATGTGATTTAATTCAGAGGTAGGTGAAAGTGAGTTAAGGTTCTAGGTGAAACAAGATGGTCATGCGTTAATCATTGTTGAAGTTAGTTGTTGAGGGCTTATTATAGCATTCTTTCTACTTTGGGATATTTAAAATTTTATATAATAAAGAGTTAAAGAAAAGCTGGCTGCAAGTAATGGAAAACTAACCTAAGCAAAAAAGAAAATTTATGGAAATAATCTTGGAGGTAGACAGCTTTTTTGATTCCCAAGAGCGTATTCTGTGGTTAGTCATTGCAAGGGAAACTCAATGCCACAATTGCAGACAAGATGCCAACCCATCCAGTTTGGGTTAAATGCTTACCGCTGGTCCACCCAACTCATCAAACCCAGCAAGGGTTGGGGTTGCTATAAAAACATGGCAGCATCTCCTGTTGATCACCACCCGGGTGGAGAGAAGAGGACATTTCTAGTGAGACAGTTCTGACCAGACCATCTAAGGTTTTTTACTACGGTTTATTAAAAGTGTGTTTTAAAGAAATTATAAATGTAGATACGGATGCATTTAATATGAGTTATTTTAATGTTGTATTGTTTAAGAGCATATGAAACCTCAACTGAATGAATAGACTTCATATTTCAACTTAAAAGACTATATACAACTTGGAATATGGGAAAAAGTTACATGTTTTGTATTTAAGGAGGCCACGCACCAAAAAAGCAGCTCATGCCTTAACTGTTGGTAGTTGATTAAAAAATATTATTGACTAAAGAAATAAAATCCCAATTGTAAAGCACAGATTTTTTTGTCTAGACACTTGTAACTTAAATTCGAGTGAAACTCTTTTCTTACTCAAATTTATTTTGTTTGTAAAGAATTTAAATCCAGAGATCTTACTCTTTTCCTGGTTCCTCCTAGCTATTGTTATCAAAATGTATTCTTTAATTATTAAATTTGTGTCGAGTCTTTGATAATTAGCTATAAATATGCCAATTGACTAGCTCCCTTTGTCCTTTTTATTGATGTACCCTCTCTTATAAAACAAAGATAACTTTTAAGTAAACCTTGTCTGTATTGAGCTACTGGTTGGTGTTTTTCCCTTTTGGACTTTAATATGGCAATTTATCCTGATGTGTATGGTCGATTCCATGTTTCACTTAAGAAGACCCTTCCTTATATCTATTTTTAGAGCTTTATTTATTTATTTATTATTATTGTTATTATTATTATTTTTATTTTTAGAGCTTTAAAGAAGCGTCCACATGATCTTGTTTTAAATGGTTTGAACGTAACTACAGTGAAAAGAAGATATTTAATAAAGGGAATAAGAGTCCACAAGTATTTTTCTCACCCTTGTTTTGAGCACCCAGGTTCAGAGGTTGACTCAGGCCTCTTCAAAGGTTGAGAAAAACTGACAAAGTGAGATGAGCTGTAAGGGTTTGTGCAGATGGGACATAGAACACCCGGGATGCTTATGCCCCGACCTTGCTTAAAAGATGGGTGTGAACAAAAGTTACTGTTCAGACAGGGTGCTGGCATCTTTTTTTTTTTTTTTTAATTTTTTTTAATGTTTTATTTATTTCTAGGAGAGAGAGAGAGAGAGAGAGAGAGAGAGAGACAGCGCGAGCAGGGGAGGGTCAGAGAGAGAGGGAGTCACAGACTCTGAAACAGGCTCCAGGCTCTGAGCTGGCAGTCAGCACAGAGCCCGACGCGGGGCTCGAACCCACGAACCTCGAGATCATGACCTAAGCGAAAGTCAGACGCTTAACCGACTAAGCCACCCAGGCGCCCCTGGGTGCTGGCATCTTAATAGAATCACAGGAAAAATGACTCTAGTCTTTCGGGAAAATTTTGTTTCCTATAAAGACTAAAATAAAATATATTGTACTCATTAATTAATTTCCTTTGAGGATAGGTGGCACACATGTTACACTGGTTTCAGATGTACCGCATAGAGATGTGACAAGTTTATACGTTAATCCATGCTCACCACAAGTGCAGCTGCCCCCTGACACCATGCAATGTTCTTAATGATGCTGTTGACTCAGTTCCCTATGCTGTGCCTTTCATCCCTGTGACCTAGTCATTCCCTGACTGGAAGCCTGTCTCTGCCCCTCCCTTCACCCATTTTACCCATCTCCTTACCCCTTCTGCTCCGGCAACCTTCACTTTGCTCTCTGTACTGTAGCGCTGATTCGGCTTTTTGCTTGTTTGTTTATCCGTTTGTTTTACTGTTTAGATTCCACATATAAGCAAAATCATATGGTATTTGTCTTTCTTGGTCTGACTCATTTCACTTAGCATAATTCCCTCTAGGTTCATTTATGTTGTTGTAAATGACAAGTTCTTATTATTTTTTATAGCTGAAGTCATATTCGTGTGTGTGTGTGTGTGTATCATATCTTCTTTATCCTTAAGAATAAATCTCCATATATATATATTAGGTTTCTGGATTTGGAATTTAGAAGTTATTCTATGTGTGTTATATATTTTAAATGTATGCTTAAGGTAAAATTTTAGCAAAATGGACAATTATAATTATGAAAAATTTTGAACTTTTTTAATATTAGATTTTACCTATGATGTGGAAGGAAATGAGTCATTGATCAAAGCACAAAAGAAACCTTTCTCAAATGCAGAAAAGATTAAGCTCAGGGGTATACACAGCCAGGATTTTATTAAACGAAACATTGAGGTATGTACTTAGAAATTTAGAAACCAGAATATGGGATTAAATGAGTTATGAAAATGAAAAATAGTTGTGTTCAGTGTCTTTAAATAGTTTTTTGATGCCACATATGTATGCAATTGAAACAGTATATATAACTGAAAGAAACGTTTTTATGGACCAGTACTTAACTTTACTAGTTTTTATTCCATCCTGTCTCCTCCTGCCTCTTTTTTAAATGAGATCTGCAACTCAGTACATTTATTTCACTATCCAGAAATGAATCTGGTTCCTGCATTTTGAAAAACATTTATTTAGATAATAGCCTCAGATGATGCTTCCCAGATTTTAAATTGCATATTAGTGAAATTGGCTTTTTAAAGTAATGAGACTGATGTTTTAGCTGGTGCATTTAGAAATTTGCATGGAAAATGCTCCTGGGCACAGCTGGAGAGGCCAATTGGTTGTCTGTCCCCTGACCCCTCCGACTGAGCCTCCAGGAAGCCCATTGCTTGTCACTTGCCTTGATTAGCTCCCTGCTTCAGGGGCTCAACCTTGATCTTCCGGAAGCCTGACTTGGTATGTCCTCATGGCAGACTAACCAAGGGCAAAGGGGTTTCCCTATTAGACCAGAGTGCGGAGTAATTAATTTACAGTAAGAAATGTGGGTGCAGTGGGCAGAAGGCTTGGGGCAAACCACTCAGGCAGGCAAGTTACTAGAAGACTGCAGTGATGGGTGTGAAGTTACTCACAGGAGCAGAGAGTTAAATAATTCCTCTCAGTTCAAGCCTGATGCTTCTTCCACAGCTGTCACGTCATTTCCAGGCAGACTAGATTTGTGGGTCAGCGTGCCACCGCCAGGACTGGCCTCTGGGACTCTTCCCTTTTTCTCTTTATGTTCATCTCCTCTGAAGGAAACCTCCAGCCTGATCTGTCTTCTCTGTGCTGGCCCATTTTGTGTTGATTTATTTAATTTGCCAAGAGTACTAGCGTTTTCCCCACATCCTCTTTCTTGCCGACACAGTCAGCAGCCCCACCATAGACTTACCTTTTCCCCTTTTAACAATAGTAGCTGAATCTTTATTCAAATTCCTGGTATGACCTGCTTGAAATGTCAAAGTAATTTCATTTAGGAGAGAGCAGGGCGTGCAGCTTGCAAGCGGGTACTTCTTTTTGGGTGTGATGAAAGAGTGATTTTACAATGGATGATGTTGCGAAGGGCAAGAAGAAGTTTGTTCAGTAGTGCGCCCGGCGCCATTCAACGGAAAGGGGAGGGCCGCCCGAGACTGAGCCAAATCCCGGTGGTTTCTTTGGGTGAAAGACAAGTCAGGCCCTTGGATTTTCTTACACAGATGCCAACAAGAATAAAGGCATCACCTGGGGAGAGGAGACACTGATGGAGTATTTAGAGAATCCCAAGAAGTACATCCTTGGAAGAAAAGTGACCTTTGCTGGCTTTAAGAAGACAGAGGGGAGAGGACACACTTGATAATTTACCTCAACAAAGCTACTAAGGAGTAATAGTTGGCCACTGCCTTATTTATTACGAAACCAAGCATCTCATGACTTCTTTTATGTGTACCATGTTTAAATTGATCTCATGCACCAGAATTCGGATCAGGAATGATCGACTGTTTCTTTTGGACAGTCCTGATTTAAATAAGATTGGCTTGTGGTTAAATGAATCTGATCAACGTTTTGAACTTGATAGTGATTCTGGTTCAGCAAGTGCTGTTCCTGTTTTCCCCTTGGAAAGATATGATTGGAATCAATTGGTAATATTCAACTCTTCACAGAGATGGTAACTGCCTTCTCTTAAGCCTGTCGGAGATGGGTTTTAGATTTAGATTTATATAACTTGTTATATTTATTTAAATACTGAGGAAATCCCTTTACTCTCCCAAAGAACAGCAAGACTCAGCTGGGTTTTATGCTGTGCTCGTTAGCCTGTAAAAGGCTAGGGCTGAAGCAAGCAGTGTCCATTTTATCTTTTGGTGTTAACAATGCCCATTTAATTAAAGTTCACTGCATCTAAAATGCTACTCTTTGCCTAATTAAACGCATTTTCATGTGGCTTATGTATCATATCAAACAAAGACTACTTAGCACTTCTCACATTTTATAGATGATCGTTAAGGCCAGATATTTTAAAAATTTAGTGTGACCTTTCGCACTATAGTAGCTAAGTTTGCTTGTGAATTCTTCACTAAGTCAGACGAAGTTATAATTCAGGATTGTCTTTTAAACAGCTCTTCAAAAACACAACTGTAGAAATATCGCATAGGTGTGATTGCTAATAGTGCTTTTGCCCCACTCATCAGAAGGATTAAAGTAGCGGACATATTTGTCAGCACCAATTTGTAAATTATGTAATAAGGCTTAAGATAATTAAAAACAAAATCACAGATAAAAAAATAAAGGCAATTTCATCAGGAGCTATATGGCACATAGGAAGTGACAAGAAGATTCCTTCCAAATACCTCAGCAAATGTGTTTATTACACTGATATATAAAGAGAGGTTGCAAACTGTCCATGTTTTATTGTTTTATATTTCAAATGAAATGTTTTTGAAGTGGCTAACATGAGGGCCTGCATATATCAGGAATATACCTCACAGATGAAAAATGCCTAATCTCACAGATTTTACCTTACTGTGTCTGTACTATAGAAGCCTCAGAGCCCACTTTTATTTTTCTGAACATGCATTGCTTTGAATATTTACTCTTTGTTATTAATACATTCCGTAGTTGGCTAAGGATTCAGGAAAGCCAGTGCTTATGATTGACAGAGAGAAGAGAAGGCTGACTGAACTTTTGAAGGACTTAGATGACAGAGATTCGGGGCTGTCCAGTCCTGAGGTATGTAAGCCCCGATATTCAATGACTTCTTCTCCTCTTCTTCTTCTTCCTTCTTCTTCCTTCTCCTCCCCCTCCCTCCCCTCCCCCTCCTCCTCCTTCCTCTCCTCCTCCTTCTCCTTTCAGTGTTTTATTTAAATTCCAGTTAGTTAGCATACAGTGTGATATAGTTTGAGGTACAGATTGTAGTGGTTCTGCACTTCCATATGACACCCAGGGCTCATCACAAGTGCTCTCCTGCATCCCCATCACCTGTGTAACCCATTCCTCTGCCCACCTCCCTTCCAGCAACCCTCAGTTTGTGCTCCATAGTTAAGAGTCTGTTTTATGGTTTGCCTTTCTATTCCCCCCTCCCCCTTACGTTCATTTGTTTTGTTTCTTAAATTCCACATATGAGTGAAATCATATGGTATTTGTCTTTCTCTGATTGACTTATTCACTTAGCATAATGCTGTCTAGTTCCATCCACTGCAAAAACGTGCCTGACTTCATCTGATCTCAGGAGCTAAACAGGGTCTGGCCTGGTTAGTACTTGGATGGGAGTCATCTACACTTCTTAATTTTTATCTATTTTTTTATCATGGTACTGACATTGGCACAAATCTACAGTAAGTTTTTATATTATGGGAATTCTCTGTATTCTCTGTCTCTAAAAAATCCCATTTTACAAATTTGTTTTCATTACAATTTTCAGATTTTTTTCTTGGTCAATTTGTTATTGACTCTGAAGAGGGTTATCTTGTGTCATTCTAAGAGTGACTTCACATTAGCTCTCATAAGAATAACCTCTCCCTGTGATGTAATGGGCTCAGTCACCAGTGACATATCAGTGTGTTTCTCTGTATCGTTTTATTTTGAACATTTCTTATCCCTAAACTGGCGTAGTTCTCAGTAATCCTACAGACCATCATCTTGCTCCTTCCCAGTTAGCCGTGAGCGTCCAGGTCCCTAAAGACTGTGGAGGGAGCGCAGACTGAGTCCACGGAGGGGAACAACATGCGACCCAGGGTGCCAGGGTGGGGGTTTATAGGGCTGGGGCTGGCCATACGAGAGGCACTTGTTTGCCTACTAAACTTAACAGCAATATTCTTTACTTCCACAGAGAAATGTAATGTCCTGTGTACCTTGAAGCCCATAGCCCTGTCATCTAGTTCTTAATTCCCTATGTTTTACAGAGGCGGGATGTAGTGAGTGCTGCCCAGATCCCTTTTACCTAGTCCCTGTCCTGTGCCAAGGGTGCGTAGCTGCCTCCTTCCGTAGAGTATGGCCGTGGGCTAGGTGGGGGCTGAACAGCCTAGGATAACAGCCCCTCTCCATCTCCACCCCCTCCCAACTCAAGTTGGGATTAGCTCTGTGCTGCAGTTTTTCCTCCAGAACTTTCCCCAGGGGTCAGCTGGGTTTCAGCCGACACCACATCCTTGCCTGGTTTTGTTTCCCTTGTCCTCGCCTGCTTACGTCACCCCCTTTCCCCTCTCCTCGAGAACTCCATTCACCCCTCTCCCTTCTCCTGAGAGCACTCCCTCCATAAGTCACCTGAACCAGAATCCCTGTCTCAGGTTCTGCATCTAGACTAGCCCCAGATCGGTAGGTGCAGAGGGTAGTTTTTTTTTTTTTTTTTTTTTTTTACAAATAGTTTATTGTCAAATTAGTTTCCACATAACACTCAGTGCTCATCCCCAAAGTGCCCTCCTCCATGCCCATCCCTCCTCCCCGCCACATCCATCAGTCCTCAGTTTTTGTCAGCATTCAAGAGTCTCTCATGGTTTGCCTCTCTCCCTTTCCCCCACCATTTCCGCCCTTCTTCTCCCCCTTGGTCCTCCGTCAAGTTCCTCCTAATCCTCCTATACGTGCAAACATATGGTATTTGTCCTTCTCTGCCTGACTTATTTCGCTCAGCAGAACACCCTCAAGGTCCATCCATGTTGCTACCCATGGCCAGATTTCATTCTTTCTCATTGCCATGTAGTATTCCATGGTATAGATAAACCACATCTTCTTGATCCATTCATCTGTTGATGGACACTTAGCCTCTTTCCATGGTTTAGCTATTGTGGAGAGTGCTGCTATGAACATTGGGGTCCATGTGCTCCTATGCATCAGCATTTCTGTATCCCTTGGGTAGATTCCTAGCAGTGCTATTGCTGGGTCCTAGGGGAGTTCTAGTGTTAGTTTCCTGAGGAACCTCCACACGGTTTTCCAGAGGGGCTGTACCAGTTTACATTCCCACCAACAGTGGAGGAGGGTGCCCGTTTCTCCACATCCTCGCCAGCATCTCGAGTTCTCTGATTTGCTCATTTTAGCCACTCTGACTGGTGTGAGGTGGTATCTCAGTGTGGTTTTGATTTGTATTTCCCTGATGAGGAGGGATGCTGAGCATCGTTTCATGTGTCTGTTGGCCATCTGGATGTCCTCTTTGGAGAAGTGTCTGTTCATGTCTTCTGCCCATTTCTTCACTGGGTTGTTTGTTTTTTGGGCGTGTAGTTTGGTGAGTTCCTTATAGATTCTGGATATTAACCCTTTATCTGATATGCCATTTGCAACTATCTTTTCCCATTCCGTTGGTTGCCTATTAATTTTCTGGGTTGTTTCCTTGGCTGTGCAGAAGCTTTTAATCTTGATGAGGTCCCAACAGTTTATTTTTGCTCTTGATTCCCTTGCTTTTGGGGATGTGTCAAGTAAGAAGTTGCTGCGGTGGAGGTCAAGGAGGTTGTTTCCTCCTTTCTCCTCTAGGGTGTTGATAGTGTCCTGTCTCACGTTCACGTCCTTTATCCATTTTGAATTGATTTTTGTGCATGGTGTGAGAAAATGATCTAGTTTCATTCTTCTGCATGTTGCTGTCCAGTTCTCCCAACACCATCTGTTAAAAAGGCTGTCTTTTTTCCATTGGATATTCTTTCCTGCTTTGTCAAAGATCAGTTGGCTGTATACTTTTGGGTCCACTTCTGAATTCTCAATTCTGTTCCATTGGTCTATGTGTCTGTTTTTGTGCCAATACCATACTGTCTTGAGGATGACAGCTTTGTAGTAGAGGCTGAAGTCTGGGATGGTGATACCTCCCGTTTTGGTTTTATTTTTCAGTATCACTTTGGCTATTCGGGGTCTTTTGTGGTTCCATACAAATTTTTGGATAGTTTGTTCTAGTTTTGAGAAGTATGCTGGTGCAATTTTGATTGGAATTGCATTGCATGTGTAGAGTGCTTTAGGTAGTAATGACATCTTAACTATATTTATTCTTCCGATCCATGAGCATGGAATGTTTTTCCATTTCTTTGTGTCTTCTTCAATTTCCTTCATAAGTTTTCTATAGTTTTCATCATACAGATCTCTTGTATCCTTGGTTAGGTTTATTCCGAGGTATTTTATGGTTTTTTGTGCAATTGTGAATGGGATCAGTTTCTTGATTTCTCTTTCTGTTGCTTCATCATTGGTGTATAAAAATGCAACCGATTTCTGTACGTTGATTTTGTACCCGGTGCAGAGGGTAGTTTTGACTGAAGGTCCAAAAGCTGTGGGTGTGCAGCAATGCCTATGGCCGGTGGTGGTGGTGGCGGTGGGGGAACGCCATGTTTCTTCCCAGAAATGATTTAGCAAAGAATTTTTATTATTGTTGCCTTTTACATACTGTTTCTGTTAGTATTTATGCCTTGTCCCTCTTTTTATTTTATTAATAAATTTTTTAAATGTTTATTCATTTTTGAGAGAGAGAGCGAGAGAGAGCAAGAGAGCAAGAGAGTGCAGCACCAGGGGAGGGGCAGAGAGAGAGGGAGACAAAGAATCCAAAGCAGACTCCAGACTCAGCTGTCAGCACAGAACCTGCTGCAGGTCTCGAACCCATAAACCATGACCTGAGCCGAGGTCAGACGCTTAACTGACGGAGCCACCCAGGTGCCCCTTAAACTCTTTTTCTATCATTTACTTTTATTTTTTAGGTAGATTGTTTACACATATCATGCAGCCGGGTTTTCGTTGTTGCTGTTATGTCTGTAATTGTTTCTCTATCTTTTGTTGTTATTTCCTTATTCTTAATCTTTTAATGAGGATATTGAATTTATATGTTTATTATGGCCACTGATAATGTTTGGACCTTTTTTTGGACAGCCTATTTGATATTCTATTGATTAGATTTATTTTGTTTTCTTAATTTTTACCCATTTTCCTCTCCTGGTTTGAAAATTCAGTATCCTGTTTCTGATCTGGGGCTGCTAGCCCTCAATTTCTTAAAATACATTAAGATGAATGTATGTTTTTCAACTTAAGTAATTAGTCTCTGAAATCTTATATCTTAATGAGATAGGATTTTTGGTGTCTTTGGCTTTTATTTCCCCTTTCTTCCATTTTTCCCTCCTCTAGAATGTGTTGAAATCACCTGGAATTTTACTCCCAGAATATTATAAGTTTTTACCTTTAAAAACAGTATGCGTCTTGTATTTTAGGAGTGTTTCTCAATAGTAGCCAAATTTTGCAGTCACATCACTTGCATGGTACCTTATCAGCCTTTTGTATCTGAGGATTCAAGTCTTTCTTAGTTTAGAAAAGTATCTTGTTTTACTCTTCTCTTCCATGATATCTTTTCTCTCATTAGGGCTACCTACAAAATGGGATATCAGTTGGGAATGTAATGAGCTGCAGGTAACAAAAAACTGTTTAAGCAGTGGCTTAAACAAGTAAGGAATATAGGGGCACCTAGGTGGTTTAGCAGGTTAAGCATCCAACTTCAGCTCAGGTCATGATCTCACAGTTTGTGAGTTCGAGCCCTGCTTCCGCCTCTCTGCTGACAGACAGCTCAGAACCTGGAGCCTGCTTCAGATTCTCTGTCTCCCTCTCTCTCTGCCCTCCCCTGCCCTTGCTGTCTCTTTTTCTTGCAAGAATAAATAAAGATTAAAAAAATTTTTTTAATTAAAAAATAAAAACATGTAAGGAGTGTATTTTACTTTAATAACAAGAAATCCAGGTGTAAGTAGCTAGTGTATTTCTTTATTCCTGTTCTGTATTCTTAGTTTGATTTTGTTTTTAGGTTTGCAAGATTGCTGCTATATCTGTAGATAATGTGTCCATTTTCCAGGCAGAAAGAAGAGGGAAAGCGGAGGGAGAAAAGGGACACTCCTCTGATGTTTTGCTTTTCATCTGGGAAGGGATGGTGTCCCTAGGACTTCTACCTGCGTCTCATCAGTCAAGTTGTGTTGTGTAGCCATGTTCATTTCGTATATCGTTGCAAGTGAGACTGGGGATTCAGGTATCTTACTTCCTTATTTTAATAGCAGAGGAAGGCAAGGAAAAAGGAAACTGGAAAAGGGGATCAGGTCAGTTAGTGTACAAGCATACAGGTGGGTAGAGAACCTCCTGGATCTCTCCTCCAGGTCCTATAGTATTTTTCTCATTATCGTCATCTGTTTTGTCATTTTGCTTATATGAGCTCATTTCATAATTTTCCAAGTTGGGTTTCAACCATGTGTATTCTGCTACTTAGCTATGTAGCTCTCTTTTGAGATTGTTGTTATTTTTACAGTTTTATTGTTTTGTAAACTAATATTTGCTGAGAGTTTCTTCTGCATGTTGTCTGAGGAGAAAGATGGCGTCTTATTATCTGGTGTCAGGGATAGACATTTTATATAGAAATTCTATAAAGCTAGATAGGAGGAGGAGAAGGAGGAGGTGAAGGAGGATGTGGCACATGTTGAAGCAGAGTCAGAGGAAGAAGTTAGGAAGTGTGGCAGGAAGAATTTAGGAACACTTTGAGGAAGGGATCCTTCTATATTCTTAAACCATACCAAACTTCTTGCCATTCCTCAGGTTTGCTGTATTCTTTGACACCATGTGCCCTTTTCTTTGTTCCCCCATCTCTGATAAGCCAATGCACCTGAAAGATGATGACTAGGGTGATAATTATGTTTTAATTCCCCAGAACCCTTGCCCTTGGGTGGTTCTTTATAGTGGCATGTTTATTTTTGTGTGGATGAGATATTCTATTGAATATCCCTAGGATACTTAAAATTTTTTAAAAAGATTTCCTTCTGTGTTGGGAATTTACACTTGCAGTGAACGGCACAAAGCTAAATGCCTCTACTGCCAAAATGGGTTTTACATCGGATCTCCGATTACTCATATCTAGATCAGTGTTGAATGTGTGAGTTTGGTTGTAGACCCTTGGTTCCCAACCTGAGCCCCTAGAGGTAAATGAGGGTGGTGAAGAGCATTCTCTGGGTTCTGTCTTAGGGAGGCAAGACTTCTAAAAGCTAGAAATCTCCCACACCTAGCAAGGGTGTTTAGAAGGTGCTCGATGGAAAAGCATGATGCCATCTACTGCATATTACATATAATTTTCCTCTGTAACAGTATAGTGTATGAAACATTTATATTCCTGTTGAATTTAATCTAACATCCTCTTTTATTTCCAGTGTCATTAAAAAAGAATTCCATTCAAACAAGAATTTAAAATTTATTGACCAATGTTTAGTCATTGATTATAGTTTTATTTTTGTGTGTGTGTGACTCATTATTTCTCACTTAGATCGTATAGTATTTATATCCTTTTATGTAGGAAGAATTAACTGGAGTTTCTTATTTGTGACTAATTAAGTAATGTATTTTCATATAATTATGTATACGTTTCATATCCCAACTTATAAGTGTATTTAAGATGTTTCTCACTGTATCATAGCCTTGTATGGATAGACTACAATCTATTCACTTTTCCCTATTTTTAGACATTTGGGACTTTTGCGATTGTTCCTTATTATATATATATATATACATATATATATATATAATACACACAGATATATATATATATACACATATATATACACATATATATATATGTGGCAAAAGGCATATGAGATAGTGTTCTGGGTTGCAAGAAACAGATGGACTTCAATGAAAAGAAAAAAAAAAAGGAATAAATGTATTGGGAAACTTGGGTAGCCCACAGACCTGGTGGGAAGTTTGGAGAACCATATGTGTAGCCCGGGCCAATATCAAGGTACCCAGAAACATGGCTTTGGAAACTCCTTGGAAAGAGGCTGGTTAGGGGCTACCTCACAGCCACCAGACACCCCGCTAGATGGACCACCCCTGCCACCCTCACTGCTATCAACACCAGATTCTCCAGGCCACTGCTGTCACCATGAATCACTGCCCCGTTTCCCCTGTATCTTCGCATCTCTCTCTCCCTCCCTTGAGAGTCCAAGTCCACAGTGTTCACTTCTGATTGCTTGATTTTAGGTCATTTGCTTGTCTTCTTGATGACAGTGGGTGGGAAGAAGGCTTGTCTGATGGGGATTTCTCTCCTACCAAGTCTTATGCAGTGCTTGGTTTCATTGAAACAGGAAGGGACATTGGATGCTGGGGTCAGGGGGAGACATGTAATTCTTTCTGCATCAGTTTTTTGCATGTATCTCTTCTGGTTACTGCCTAGGGATTGATTCCTGGTATTAGAGTCATGAAACCAAAGTGTATGAAGTTCTTAACCTTCCTTACTCTCCACTTGTCCCTTTGTTCCTGGTGTTTTCATAATTCTTCTGTCCTTGTATTACATGTTTCTCTGTGTGACCTCATCCATTCCCATAGTTCAAGAGTTTGAACCACTATAGATAGGTGGGTGAGTCCAAAATATTTATATACAGGTCTCTAGGTCTCTATCTTGAACTTCAGACAAATATATTTAACCACCTAACATAATCTATAGATATCCGTGAATATCAGAAGGTCCCAAACAGAATTCATCATTTACTTTCTCAAACCTATTATGTCTCCTGTATTCCCTACCTTGGCCGATATGACCACTATACCCCTAGTTTTCAAAATCCAGAATTTGGTTTTTATCTTTGATCCTTACTCCTCCTTCCATGCTTCCATCAAATTATCTTCTGATTCCATAATTTCTACTTTGTAATTATCTCTGGAATGTGTCCTATGTTCTTTTTCCCCAGGAAATATTCTTAAGTTTAGGCGCTCATCACTTTTGTTCTACATTATGGTTTTTGCTTCTTAACTGGGTTTTCTGTTTAGTCTTGACCAAGGCAGTTCTAGTTTTAAAATGCATAGTCAGCTATGTTGTTTCCTTGATTAAGATGTGATTAAGATTGATTACCTACTCCAGGAAGCCTTCTCCAACCACTTGGTCTCTCTGCTCCTTCATGTCCACAAAGGTTAGCTGACCCTCACTGGTCGCCATGGCACCTCCAGCGCTCTTCATGCCTTGTTAAAGTCTTTGCTGCCAGAAGACCGAGAACTCCTTAAGGGCAGAGCTTGTGAGATTCCTACCAAATCACCAGCACCCAGTGCAATGCCTACATTCAGTGGATGCTGAGTACAGGATTTTTGAATGGATTTTATGAATGGGTTTTAACCCATTATGACATGAATGTTAGTTGAATAAGGAGTTAGATGATCAATAGGCTCATGAAACCCAAACAACTGCCTTTATAGACCTTATGTTACTTTTCAGGAACAAATCTTTAAAATACCGTGTCTGTTATAGGGTAAACATGATTTCTTCCTATTCAACATTTCACAAACTACTTTTTCAAAGTAGAGAAAGGAGAATGTTTAAAAACTAGACTGGAAGTCCAAGAGATTTATTCCACAGGGGAAAACTCCCACAAGCTGTAGGATATACTTTATACAGATTTGGCAGATAATGAAACCATAAATTACTAATTTTTTTCTTTCACTAACACAGTGTTAATTTTGTGGGTTTTTTTTTTTTTTGGTATTGTGTGTATGTGTGCATGTGCACACACACGCGTGTGCTTGTGTATGTGTGTGTGAAGTCCTGAGCATTGATGTAGCCATCTGAAAGGTATGTTTTGGGAAAAATGTAGCATGGGAACGACCTGATGACCCTTGTTTCCTCTTAGGGTGATCAGTCTGACTGGCTGGTCCCAGGAGAAGGATACACACTTGCCATCACCCAGCACCAGCAGCTTGTCGAAATCGACACAAAGCTCCAGGAACTTTCTGCAGCCTCACCAACAACTTCCGACTTTTGTCCAAGACATGAAAACCACAGTGAGCAGGTAGATTTAATTTAAGAATACACGGACTGTTCAGGTTTGTGTGTTAAAGCTAGTTGACGTAATTTGACAGTTTGCTTGTTAATTAAAGAGGTTTCTTCCCAGTTGTTTTTTTCATAACTATGAGTGCATAACTACAAGTGCAATGATAGTAATTTCCATTAGTGTGTGCATTGTGTGTGTTTTCCAATAGTGACTTCCACTTTCTCTTCATTTTTCTTTCAGTTGGTAATTTTCTGAGAAGGGTCACTTATAAAATATTTATTTTACTGTTATTGTATCTTTATAATTAATCTTTATATCAGGAGGCAGGATAGGGAAGAAAATCAATACAGCCCTCATTCGTCTTCTATTTCTCTGGTTCTAAGTATTAGCAATGGCAGCCGCTTGTCCCTGACACTGCCGTATTCTTCCAGCTCTTTCCATTTCACATCAAACACTGAAGCTCTCACTATGCTGATGAAGTCTCTCCTGTGAGGATTTTGAAATGAATGCATTTCCTCCCTGGATAGTTTCTCAAATATTCTTTCAGTTTTCTGTTTAGAAAAACAGAAGAGTAATGGCAGCTTCATAAAAGGAAGATTCTTTTTTTTTTTTTTTCCCCAGCCCCATATCTCAGTACTTCATGGGATCTCGTTTGGGGTTGGGTTATAGTTTTCACCTAAACAGAAAATAGTCAGTCTTTTGCTATTCTAATTATCCTTGGCTCATTTTGTAGACATTTCACCAAATCATTTTCTGTACAATCGTAGATGCACATGATTTTTTTTGTTCCTAAAAAAAGTTTAAAAATAAATATTCCATAGGTAATAATTCTGCTTTATATTGAGTCTCTAAGCCATCAAGTGAAGGTTGGGGTTCTGGCTTTGGGCCGGTTGAAACTGCTTCAAGGGGAAAGAAGAGTGTTAAGGTATTCCTAAGAAAATTTGGTCACTGGCAAAATCTTTATAGAACCATCTCGGCTTCCTTAGGTTATGTTTGAATAGGCTGGGCACAGCTGTTTCTGAGCCCTTTACGCAGCAAGAGTGGTGGTAGTAGAAACCACTTGTTTCTGGATTGGGGTAAAAGCGGACAACAGAGAACTGGAATCTCTCTCCCCTACTCAAATGTACCCCAGGACTTTGACACCAGTTACGCTGCTAGTTTATTTAAGTTACTAGGTTCCATTTCCCAAAAGAAGGGAGCCAAGAGGGGGAAATAAAATTGTTCAGGAATACTCTTTGTTCTTTTTGCTTTATACCTGATTTTGTGGTTGTCTTTATGTTGTTGGATTTCAAGGGTAGCTGAGATCTCAAGGCTGAATAGTGACCCTCAAGACAGAAAATACCTTTTTCATGGTGGTCAAATGTTATTCTTTAAAGGGAGACTGAGAATTTAAAGATTTTTTTAGCCATCAGGGCTTCATTAAAGCGACCATGTTAAGATTCTGTCACCATCATTTAAATCATACTTTCAGAATTCACATTTATAGTTCAGATAAGTATTTTAAAAATACTACTAAAAGGGAAAACCAGTACATTACTTAGTTGTCATGTACTGACATATTTTTATGTGAAACAACACAGGTTTAGAGAGAAAAGAGAAACCTGCATTTTGGGATTCCCATTGGATGCAGAGACATAAATGTAACATCGTAGTTGATGAAAAGAAATAATTAATACCTCTTGCATGCAAAAAAAAAATCTTTTGAGCTTTTGTTCAGTTTCCTCTTGGCATTTCCTCATGTCTAACTAAAACCAGCATTGCACATTGAATTTTCAAGCCAGAAATGCTAACATGGCAAATTATTTTGCAGATATTATTTTTGGATTGGAATTCTTTTTGGATACATACACTGAAAAGTATCTTGGTTAAACCTTGCGTATCTGTGCAGTTGATGAATGGGCTCCAATCTCTTGCTGAACCACAAATATTCATTGCTCATATTCACGTTATTTTTATTTTTAACCCTTCTGCAAACCATTAATTCATCAGTAATTTTTCTTCATACTCCTTATGAAAGAATGTCTTTTAAGTAGAATGTGCGTTTCTGGTTTTCAGCAATTGATTCAACAATATTAATCAAGTGCTTTCGGTGTAGGAATTGTAGGGCGCTGAAAGACAAGTCAAGCCAGTATAGAACGGTGGAGTCAGGGGCGCCTGCGTGGCTCAGTAGGTTAAGCATCTGACTTCGGCTCAGGTCATGACCTCACAGTTCATGGATTCAAGCCCTGCATCGGGCTCTCTGCAGACAGCTAGCTCAGAGCCTGGAGCCTCTCTTCGGATTCTGTGTCTCCCTCTCTCTCTGACCCTCCCCTGCTTGTGATGTCTTTCTTTCTCATAAATAAATAAAACATAAAAAAAAAAACAAAAAACTGTGGAATCAAAAAGCCTCACTTCGAGTTCTGGCTCTTCCAGTTACTGGTTCTGAGAACCTGGGCATTAAGTGGAAGCACCCTGAACCCTAGTTTCCTTATTTATAAAATAGTAATAATAATATTATTCTTTAGGGCTGGTTTATTTTTTACTATTTTTTATTAATTTTTTTCCTTCCAATGTTTTATGTAAAGTCAAATTAATTAACATATTGTGTAGTATTGATTTCAGGAGTCGAATTTAGTGACTCATCACTTATATATTATGGCCCTCTAAAAGGGTGGATGAGTTGATTTGTGTAAAGTGCTTAGCACATGTCTGACACAAAACTCACCCAGTGATGTTATTGTTATAATAATAAGTGACTTGGGATGCCTGGGTGGCTCCGTTGGTTAAGTGTCTGACTCTTGATTTCAGCTCAGGTCATGATCTCACGGTTCATGGTATTGAGCCCCATATCAGGCTCTGTGCTGACAGTGTGGAGCCTGCTTGGGATTCTTTCTGTCTCCCCCCCCTCTCTGCCCCCTCCCACTCTCTCTTTCTCCCCCTCTCAAAACAATAAAAATTTAAAAAGATAATAATTGACTTAAGGAACACATTTTCCTGTGGGAGGCACTGGATATGCATAAATAACTGTGGTACAAGACAACATATGTAAGCACAACAGAAAGCTATGAAAGCAAAGTGCGGTGGGGTTCTGGGGAGAGAGAGAAAGCACACCCAGAAAGTCCAGTTCCACAAGTGAGGGCCAGGAGGTGGAAAAGGAACGAGCAAATAAGGCAGACAGGGTTAGAGGCCCAGGGAAGACTACATTATGCAGCATGAGATTGAAAATTGGTGGCCCACAGGGCAAAGCTGACTCACACGTGGATTTCCTTTAGTCCTTTAGTTTGTAGTTTTTTTAGTCAACGTTTAAATATTGGGTGAATTCATATAAATGTCTAAATGTCTAGTTTTTCTTGAGAAATTAGAGAATCTGGCGACATCAAACCTGAGTCCTTGCTTGGCAAACTGCAGGACTGATTGGAGTAGCAGCTCCTGCTTTCCGCAGAGCACAAATTCCCCAGTTTGCCACAGTATTCACGACTCCGTATGGTATTGCAGGCCCTGAGGCCCCCTGCATGCATTTAGGTTACTGACCCAGCCCCTGCACGGGCCATCAAAACATCTTTGAAAGCCTGCTTGCTTCATAGGACATATGTGGTGGTTGACCTTGAATATTCAAACTACCCTGCCGCTTCATGTCTGACCTTACAGCAGCTCATAGGGCCCTGGAGGATAGGCTGTAGGCACAGAGCAAGTTGTCGGGTGAGCACACAGTGGAGGAAGCACCACAATATGGAAATGATCTTATGAAAAGTGAAGAAAGTCTGTGCTAGTAGAGAAAGGAAGAGTTATTTGCTGAAAGCATGCTATTTAAAAAAATTCCTTTGGAGATTTTTTTAAAATGTTGCTCAAGGAACCAGTTCCCCCAACAAGTCGAAACACTCAGACTTTCTGACTTCTTGACCATGGCGACTAAGAAGGTGCTCAGTTGGCAGGCACGTGAGCCAAGGATCATAAATGTACTTGAGGCAGAATAATGTGAGGGACTCCGGTAATGTGACTCAGAGATTAAGGAAGTTGTTGTGAAAGGAGCTGTTAAGAAATCTCCTTTTCCTTTTGAGCTTGCTGATTAGGATATTGACATAGGATACCCTGGCCCAGCTCTTAACTTTATGGCAATATTTTAAAGGCAGAATCTGGCTCTCATATGTCCGATTTCCTTAGTGTAAAACAAAGCATGTGGTCACTGTCAGAAGGAAGGGCATGTTACTGCTATTACTGTGATGTGAATAATATTACGTGGTTGCAGTTTTGACATCTGCTTCTTATTTTCATTTCATCTTAGCAGAAGAGAACTAATTGAAGCAATTTTTTCGTAAGATCTGTGGTTTAACTATGCATACCTTTCTATGTCCATCCCCTAACCCTCTAACAACCCAATCAGTTTTTTCCTCATACTGTAAACCCCACCATAAAATTGAGTGATGTTCTATAATTTAGTTACCATATTTCTTATTTGTGGCTGTATTAGATTCCAGCTTTCTCCAGAAATATCTAAGATATAGGAGTTGTGTAGGTATTCAGTTTCTTAAGTCCTTAGCAACTGGATTCAATAATAAATTCTGTTCAGTTTGGCTCTTGTAAAGAAGTGTAATTTATTCATGTTTCATGCAATCAGTCTTACTAACTCTAGAATTCCAGTTCATGATTAGATTTTTTTTTTCTGGTTGGGAGAGGGTCTTCAAAATTGCCCTTATTTCAAGAGGCATTTCTTTGTTCTTAAACCAGCTGATTTAATTGAATATAAAGGTCTTCTTTGATTTTATTTATTTATGTATTTATGTATATATGTATGTGTATATTTATTTATTTTGTTCTTAAAATGTTGGTTCAGTTGTAAACATTTTGTTAAGACCAACAAAAAACTTACAAACATCTGATTGAGGAAAATTGTAGTTGTAGTCATCTTTTTTCTTACCAAAAGCATATGATTGTTGACAGCAACAAATAACTGTTTTTTGTCTCTTCCTGTTTCAACATTAGCTCAAGTTGAAGAAATATAAAATGTTGTTTGACGTGTAATCTTGTAACATATTTTATTG